GCCAACGCTATCGATGTACGTTTTACTGGAAGAGGACACTATAGAGATGATATTAAATTGAAATATGCGCCTCTCGCAGGGATCTCAGTGCTGATAGCTGCCGACCACAAAGGTACTGAGGAGGGGCGATATCGCAGGCTGATATTTATTAGTTATAGCCATATAATTGCGGCAGTTTATGATATTTTAAGCCAACGAGGTACGATGAGTGACCGGTGGTTAGAGTCGCCTCGTGAAACTGACCCCTGTCCGATGTACCTGGAACGCTGAACTACGTTTTACGTCCTAGCGGTCAAGGTCACAGTAAAGGTCACGCATGAGGACAAGCAGTAAAATAATCATCACAAAACGCCGACGTTTTATTTTGTTCCTAAATACATGTTCAGATCTTAAAAGGACCATTTAATGCGACAGTAAACTTAGAATAGATTTTAATATGTGAAGATGTGGTTTACAACGCATGTTCTCGCCTACAAATTTTTAAGTTTGCCATGGAGCCACCCCGTTCTAGAAACATCGCTTTATAAATGGTGAAAAGACATACTTTGCTTAAAAGATCATAAAATATATATATGAAAAAATATTTACATTGTTAAATATTTTTATGAAAGAAATCGAATTGTTATTATATTTTTTTAATATTATAATTATTTTTATTATTTTTATTATTTTTATTATTATTATTATTATTATTATTATTATTATTATTATTATTATTATTATTTACATATTAAAATAAAAAATGCAGCAAAGAGGGTTTGGGTGATCCTGGCACAGATCCTGGTTAGGCTTAACAACCCTGCAGCCTTCTTGTCCAGATTGTCAGAAGGGCTGTATTCTTGGTAGCAAACCCGGATACTCTCCCAATGTCATTCAACAGATTGGGAGGTACCAAACCTAAGGCACCGAGAACAATGGGCAGACGGACAACTTGTTTTTCCCGAATCTTGTCAATCACATTAGCGTCCAAAGGGACAGAAAAGTCAATGATATAAATGATTTCATTGGATTCATCAAAAAGGACAAGATCGGATTTGTTGGCCTGCATACGTCTGAGGCTGTAAATGGGCCTATTCCAAAGAATTTTGTATTTATCATTTTCCATGACGCCCTCTACATATTCCGGGTCGTACCATGGATGGACCTCTGTGTCAAAACCACAAGCATTGCGAAGACGGTAATAAAAGGATCGAGCCATTCCATCATGTCGCTTAAGATACGGTGTTTGTGCCAAAGCGGGGCATCCTCTGACAATGTGTTAAACAGTCTCATTAAATTCATTACATAATCTACATTATTTACATTTTGATGCAAAATCACACATTGACGGTTTCGAGTGGGAAGTGACTCGTCCTGAGCAGCAAACAGAAAGCCTTCTGTTTCACTTTTCAGGCACGCCGACTTCATCCAAGCGAAGGACTATGTAGGGTTGCTGATCTTCTCAACACATTGCACATAAACTCGATGCAGTGGTCGTTCAGATAGCTGAGTCTGGGCCGATTTGATATGGCACTTCGCTTGGTTGACACTCATTTCTGTACCGTCCAGCAGTACAGAACCATCAACAAAATCAACACTGACATTGAGATTATATCCCACAACATTGGCTCGTTTAAGTAAACTGTGGAATGCCTTGTTTTCATCAAGAGTCTTGACATGCTTCACAAGATCATCAGACAAATAATGTTGTGCAAAAGTGCACAAAACAATTATATCGTGAAGAGCCCCCACATTAATCAAACTACACCCTCCCACTATGATTGCTAAATATAAGCGATTGAGGGAAGAGCGAGGGTGGTGGGATCTATTGTCTGACATGATTCTTCGTTGGAGGGTGTCAATACTCATTGTCATGTCAAGTTTCGTCCAATAAACAACAACATCATCATCGACATCATCCTCATCCTCATCATCATCATCATTATTATTATTATTTTTATTTTTATTATTATTATGTTGTTGTTGTATCTATTGATACCAATAGTGAACGACATTCGTCCAATATGCATAAGTGTATTGAAATGTCCACAGTGTTCTTCATCAGACTAAGTTTCCTTAATCTAATAATTTCCTAAACTTATTTATTTTGTAAGTAGCCTGACTATAAATCACAGATATTTGTAAAACAAACACACATGGCCGACCATTTGATAATTAAGAATTCATGCTTTCAATAAATAATTAAAGTATATGGTCACGTAAATATAACATGTGACACTTTTGTCAGTTCGACATGACAAAATATGTTTAATAATTCATTTAAAGTCAGCGTAATTTACATTCTAGTGTCTGCGTGGGGTCTTGTCCCCTACGAGTGAGGTATTTGTCCATCATTTACAATTGTACGAACATGGATGCAGGGTTAATTCCCCTAAATCAACTCTCGCACCATCCTTGATATGAGCCTGCGTGGACAGAGAGACAGAGTGGTGGTCCAAGATAGGGGGCCATTAAGATGGCGATTAGGAACGTGTTTCCCATTTTCGCGCTGTCCAAATTATCCACACGGACGAGAGGGACAGTTCAGCGTTAGATTATACAGGTAATGGTCTGCCCAGCTGGTGGTAAAAAATCGTAGATGGATTTCGATAATTGAAAATGCACTTTCATCATTTAAAATGGTATGTGTTCTCAACCCCGTAGCGATTGTTTGACCCAAGTGACCACTGGTCATGTGACTGACCACAGGGGCTCGCATAAAACGTACCATGCACGTGCTATCAATTTTACACGATTTTTTTAGACACTTCTGTTTTGATTAAGTCCACTGGTTTTTCTTCCAGTTTCATTTTTGTGAGCTTAAATATTAATTGGCGTTGATAGTACACTGAAACCTCGTTATCTCGAACTCCTTTAATCCGATGTTTCGTTTAGGACGACGTAACAATATGGTCCCGGGAAACCCTTATCGATCCAACGGTCTAACATATATCGGCACACCGCTTGTCTCGAACTTGGGTTCGAGATTACAAGGTTTCACTGTAGTATATACATTAAATATCCCCATCCTCGCATCTATACAATAATCCAAATATGAAAGTATGGGTGCTAAATCGAACTTATTTAATTTGTTTTAAAAAAATATAAAAAAATTAAGATATTTTCTTCCCGATAATAATGAAATATTTCCCTGTGATGAGCAGTGCTGCACGCATGCGTGTTGAGTAGTGTTGGCACCTCACATCAATCTCCTCGCCGGAGGTCAGCTGGGGGGCAGTGGTCAGTCAAGATAGGGGTTCTAGAAGTGACCACTTCAAAGTTTGTGAGGATAAATTGCCTATAAAACTAATTACATTTTCTGTAGCCATCACCTTTTGCTATCCTCCTTATATCTACCTGTTAAGAATGTCTTCGGACCATACACGCGCATTCACAATTTCTTCCCCACACCGATTCTCTCCCTTTTGTAGGTTATTGTCACTGTAAACGTTGATATGTATCCGCTGATATATTCAGGCTATATTTAAACCCTTTAAGGTCTTTTTAACTCGACAACCTGGCTTTATTATGCCAATATATGTTGAGAGTAGTTTATACTTCAGTGACTTTGCAAATATTTTGCCTATGATGATGTCGTTGAAGACTGATTTCCCCACGGGACGAGCCTCACAGTGGCGCCATATTAAAGACGATATGTAGAACTTACTGTCTTCGTATTGTTTCAGTGCTGAATTTCAGTTATTATTATCGAAATAAACGGATATTAGTGTTAATGGCCTGGTAGATATGAAAATCATATTCTGTTTCTCACTCTCTCTCTCTCTCACCCGCCTTACTCCTCCTCCCCACTCAAACATCCCTCCCCCCCTCCCCCCTCAGACTCATTCTCCTCTACGAGTCCAGACCCCTCTCATGTTCAATCTCACCCCTACCACCTTTTAATTGTCCCTTTTCTATCCCATTTGCAACATTTTCAACACATCTACTCGCCTCGCCCCCTCTTCTTTTTCTTTTTTTCTCTCTCTATCTGTCTCTCTATTTCTCTCCTTTCCCCTCCCCTTCCCTTCTCTCCCTTTCCCTCTATCTCTCTTCTCTCTCTTTTCTTTTACTTTCTCTGTGTCTCTCTTTCTCTCCTTTCCCTCTCTCTTCTCTCTCCCTTTCCCTCTCATGTCTGTCTTTCTCTCCCTCCCTCTCTCTCTTTCTCTTCCTTTCCCTCTCGCCCTCTTTCTCTCCCTCCCCTCTCTCTCTCTTTCTCTTCCTTTCCCTCTCGCCCTCTCTCGCTCTCCCTTCCCCTCTCTCTCTAACCCCCCCCCTCCCCCTCTCCCCCCGTCTGTCTGTCTGTCTGTCTGTTGGGTAAATGTATGTAGGCTGTGAACTGGGGCATGCGCTCCTGCAGAATGAGGACACAAGAAATGAAACTAACTTCATGGTAATGCAATACTTCTTTCAGTATGAAACGGGGCCTGCACCTTTTGTCGGGCTTACATGTTTACAACATCGCGATGAAAACTGTCACCGTCACCCCCCGCGGTGTCGACAAAATGCTTTCTAACAACTTTTGTTGAATCTTAATACCCTCCTGAATAGCCCCTCTAATTTAACGCCAAGGCGCAAGCGACAAAAAACGCTCATCTTTTCATCATAGCTTGGGGCATGGCGGGTGTTTTTTCTTGCGCAATGGGCTCGAGGAAAGTGAATGCCACGTATGGTTCGGAATTGCCTCTTTTTCATCAGAGAATGAGTGAGTGAATGATAATTATTATGTTACAACACCGCTGTTAGCATTTTTTCAGCAATATCACGGCGGGGAGCACCAGACATGGTCTTGACACATTGCGCTCGCTTGGGGAATCAAGCACGGGCGTCATTATAAAGACGAAGAAAGGGGATGAAGCAGAAGAAAGGGGATGATGACTGATGAAAGTGGATCACATGACGAGATGGAGGGATGAAGTAACAGAATGAAGGAACCAAGTGATGAAAGGCGGTGAATTGATGGGAGGGGTTGAAGTGACGAGAGGGGGTGAATTGATAGGAGGGGTTGAAGTGACGAGAGGGGGTTAATTGATGGGAGGGGTTGAAGTGACGAGAGGGGGTGAATTGATGGGATGGACTGAAGTGACGAGAGGGGGTGAATTGATGGGAGGGGTTGAAGTGACGAGAGGGGTTGAATTGACGAGAGGGGGTGAATTGATGGGAGGGGTTGAATTGACGAGAGGGGGTGAATTGATGGGAGGGGTTGAAGTGACGAGAGGGGGTGAATTGATGGGAGGGGTTGAATTGACGAGAGGGGGTGAATTGATGGGAGGGGTTGAATTGACGAGAGGGGGTGAATTGATGGGAGGGGTTGAATTGACGAGAGGGGGTGAATTGATGGGAGGGGTTGAAGTGACGAGAGGGGGTGAATTGATGGGAGGGGTTGAAGTGACGAGAGGGGGTGAATTGATGGGAGGGGTTGAAGTGACGAGAGGGGGTGAATTGATGGGAGGGGTTGAATTGACGAGAGGGGGTGAATTGATGGGAGGGGTTGAAGTGACGAGAGGGGGTGAATTGATGGGAGGGGTTGAAGTGACGAGAGGGGGTGAATTGATGGGAGGGGTTGAAGTGACGAGAGGGGTGAATTGATGGGAGGTGATGAAGTGACGAGAGGGGGTGAATTGATGGGAGGGGTTGAAGTGACGAGAGGGGGTGAATTGATGGGAGGGGTTGAAGTGACGAGAGGGGTGAATTGATGGGAGGGGTTGAATTGACGAGAGGGGGTGAATTGATGGGAGGGGTTGAAGTGACGAGAGGGGGTGAATTGATGGGAGGGGTTGAAGTGACGAGAGGGGGTGAATTGATGGGAGGGGTTGAAGTGACGAGCGGGGGTGAATTGATGGGAGGGGTTGAATTGACGAGAGGGGGTGAATTGATGGGAGGGGTTGAATTGACGAGAGGGGGTGAATTGATGGGAGGGGTTGAAGTGAAGAGAAGGGGTGAAGTGATGGGGTAGAGGGTGAAGTGATGTGGGGTGACATGGATGACGTGATGAAATGGATGAAATGATGAAATGGATGAAGTGAAGAAATGGATGACGTGAGGAAAAGGATGAAGTGATGACATGGATGAAGTGATGAAAATGATGAAGTAGTGAAATGGATGAAGTGAAGAAATGGATGCAGTGATGAAAAGGATAAAGTGATGAAATGGATGACGTGATGACGGATAAAGTGATGAGACGGGATGACCTTGTGAAATGAATAAAGTGATGAAATGGATGGACAAAGTGATGAGACGTGACGAGATAGAACATACATACAACCAACAACAAGCATAAGGTACCGGGAGCGTATTCCACCCCGACACCAGGTGAAATGAACGCCGGACATAGATACAGGAGACAGCAAGGATAGGGCACTGGGGACCTATTCCACCCCGACACCAGGTGAAATGAACGCCGGACATAGATAGAGGAGGCAGCAAGGATAGGGCACTGGGGACCTATTCCACCCCGACACCAGGTGAAATGAACGCCGGACATAGATACAGGAGACAACAAGGATAGGGCACTGGGGACCTATTCCACCCCGACACCAGGTGAAATGAACGCCGGACATAGATAGAGGAGGCAGCAAGGATAGGGCACTGGGGACCTATTCCACCCCGACACCAGGTGAAATGAACGCTGGACATACAAACAGACAAGTTGTGGGAGTAGATGAATGCCTCGAGTCTTGGTCCACTGCCTTCTACCCAACCATGAGGCAGTCTTCATTTACCGCTCCGTGAAGGGCACATAAAGCTGTGCTGTGAGTCATGTGTCGACGGCAATTAAAGTTAATTTACCAGAGACCAGACAGTCCACATACAGCACGGATGCTGCACGTTAATGTCCGTTTTCAGCAAGGGATAAAAGACGGTATTCAGGCTGTATATCGTTGTGAATTGCCCCAATGACTGACAGCCGATAGGGCTGTGTTCACCACGCTGTGTTGTCGGCGGGAAGATAGGATGAGTGCATTAAAGGGTCTTCTTTATGTCTCCCTATAGATATCACGGACAACCGTAGGTTATTAGCAATCGTTGGACTTCAATGGATCATGACTCAACTTTGTAAAGAAGCATACATCATCGGCCATTGTGGATGCTTCTGAATAGCAGTTGCTGATGCACATCATAAGGTGTATCCGTAGAACGTTTGGATGTTTAAATATTTTTTTGCAAATAAAATACACATAAGCAGTGAGAGCAGATGTTTGTAGATTTTCGTCGCCTTTGCAACAATAACATCAAACGTTATGCTTCGGAACGCAAAGATGGGAAACTTATTATTATTTTAATAACTATAGTTATGATTATTTGTGTTTGTAACATCTTGCTGGAAGACGAGATAAAAAACAAACCCGTACCAATTGTTGTATACCAAGGTTTCAAAATGGGTCATTGATCAGAAATTTAAAGAGGGTTAATAAAACATGACTTCCCTCGAGTAACCAGAACATACGGGCGGTTAGGTAGCCCAGTGGTTAAAGGGTTCGTTGGTCACGCTAAAGGCCCGGGTTCGTTGCTGCCTTTGATTACACTTCACCTGCTGTTTTAACCATTGTACCCATGTGGGGAAACGACCTCGTTATTGTACCCATGTGAGGAAACGACTTCGTCATAGTACCCATGTGGGGAAACGACCTCGTTATTGTACCCATGTGGGGAAACGACCTCGTTATTGTACCCATGTGAGGAAACGACCTCGTTATTGTACCCATGTGAGGAAACGACCTCGTCGTTGTACACATGTGGGGAAACGACCTCGTTATTGTACCCATGTGGGGAAACGACCTCGTTATTGTACCCATGTGAGGAAACGACTTCGTCATTGTACCCATGTGGGGAACCGACCTCGTCATAGTACCCATGTGGGGAAACGACCTCGTTATTGTACCCATGTGGGGAACCGACCTCGTCATAGTACCCATGTGAGGAAACGACTTCGTCATAGTACCCATGTGGGGAAACGACCTCGTTATTGTGCCCATGTGGGGAAACGACCTCGTCGTGGTACACATGTGGGGAAACGACATTGTGGTTGTATTCATGTGGGGAAACGACGTCGTCATTGTACCATTTTGGGGAAATGACCCCGTCGTTGTACTCATGTGGGGAAACGACCTACGTAGGAGATACTAAGTCCTACGTAGGAGATAGTAAGTCCTACGTAGGCGATACTAAGTGAGTGAGTGAGTGAGTATGGTTTTACGCTGCTTTTAGCAATATTCCGCCAATATCATGGCGAGGGACACCAGAAATGGGCTTCAGACATTGTACCCATGTCGGGAATCGAACCCGGGTCTTCGGCGTGACAAGCGAACGCTTTAACCACTAGGCTACCCGACCGCTGGAGATACTAAGTCCTACGTAGGTAGATACTAAGTCCTACGTAGAAGATACTAAGTCCTACGTAGAAGATACTAAGTCCTACGTAGGAAATACTTAGATATAAAAAAATCACCGTGGCCCCACTACGCTTCCGTACCATGCAGGTTGCAAGAGATATTCGAAAAATATTTTATCCTACATAACATGTAAAATACTTGAATATTATTGGACAATGGTGTTTGATAAATTCCCATACATCCTGCCACTTCGGTGTTGAACTGGGTCAAAACACTCCGCAGTCATAGCAACAGACATTTTCCTTGATCTCTCTTTAAGGGATTCCGTAATGTATAATACCAGTGTGTTTGATGTACGTGTGTGGATCTTACCCGGCAATATGGCGACAAACAAACGTCTCTCGTCTCAACTTTCTCCGGCTCGGTGCACGGGTACATTAAACCGTAGTCTCCTCATGATACGCCACAGCTTAATATATCCCAGCCAATGGCGGCCGAAGCAGAGTAGCATATGACGTCGTTGATGCAGAATTTCCGTCGTAGTTCGATGAACCCGTGAAGATCCGGGTTAGAATTGGTCTCAGAAAACCATGCTTGTGGTAAGAGGCGACTAACGGGACCGGGTGGTCAGGCTCGCTGACCTGGTTGATGCATATCATCGTATCCCAATTGCGTAGATCGATACTCATGATGTCAATCGCTGGATTGTCTGGTCCAGACTCGATTATTTACAGATCGTCGTCATATAGTTGGAATATTGCAAAGTGCTGCATAAAGCAACAAACAAACAAATCGTAGTTCGATGTAGTTGTGGCGACATGATTGGACATTGTCACATTAGCATTTCCAATACATATCTGTTGTAGAAAACAGACAATATGCTGCACATGAGCAGTCAGATAATTAGACTAATGGCCTATGATATACATGTCTATGATTAAAGTTTACAATTTACAATTCTAATGCTGATTTCGACCCCTTAAGATCCGGGGTAGAAAAGGTCTTCAGCAACCCATTCTTGCCGTAAAAGGCGACTGTGCTTGTCGAAAGAGGTGACAAACGGGATCGGGTCGTCAGGCTCGCTGACTTAGTTAATACATGTCATCGTATTCCAATTACGTGGATCGATGCTCATGATGTCAATCACTGGATTGTCAGGTCCAAACTCGATTATTTACAGACCGCCATCATATAGCGTTAAACAACAAAGAAACAAACAAACTGGTGACTGATTTCATATAGCAAGCTGCGCTTGCTTGTGTGTAGGTTTTATACCGATTTTTTCATTAAATAAAGTGCAGGACTACCTTCGACACATGCCTCCCAACATGTACAGCTCTTAAGTAAGTGTAAACTGTATAACATACATGGTGTGTCTATTAGCAGAGTGTACCCAACGAAAAGTGCAATCTCGTTGAAACAGCGAGTGTGTCATTGCGCATGCCACAAGACTCAGAGGTTTCTGGGAAGCGTCGCTATGAACTCAGACGTAGACAGGAAGTTGTCAACGAGGTCACGACGACACGAGTTTTTATTTTGGCGGGATATGTTTTTGCGCTGCGATGACTAACTATCAGTGACATTACCGTGTAACTCATTAAACAAACTCGTGCCCTAACTTGCATGTTATTTAACTGTATCAAGCTTAACGCAAACCTACATGCATGCAAGAATATCATAAACCTATTGCCACTTTATATTACTGTAGGTACCCTTGCTATCTTATAGTTGCCTTGTGAGTGAGACTGCTTTCAAGCGAGACTTGCTGATAGGTTTTACATTTGAATTGTAACACCTGCTTGGATGTTTTACGCTTGAATTGTAACACCTGTTTGGATGTTTTACGTTTGAAATGTAACACCTGCCTGTATTTTTTTACGTTTGAAATGTAACACCTGCCTGTATTTTTTGCTGATAGGTTTTACATTTGAATTGTAACACCTGCTTGGATGTTTTACGTTTGAATTGTAACACCTGCTTGGATGTTTTACGTTTGAATTGTAACACCTGCTTGGAGGTTTTACGTTTGAATTGTAACACCTGCTTGGAGGTTTTACGTTTGAATTGTAACACCTGCTTGGAGGTTTTACGTTTGAATTGTAACACCTGCTTAGAGGTTTTACGTTTGAATTGTAACACCTGCTTGGGTGTTTTACGTTGGGCTTAACAGCATTTTTATATGAATCTGTTAAATGTTGATTTTTTTACTGGTTACAAGTCACACTTTCCTTCACATAAACATTCCAAGCTGTGAATCGAATCTGCAACCTCGCATATCATGTTTAGTATTGTAACCTACAGTTTTCCCAGTGAGACACCGGGGCAGGGATGAAAGGGTGTTCAATCTTACATGTCATGACTTCACGTGGTCACTCTCTCGCCAAGTGTCGTCGAATGTGTTTCATACCGCGACCACTGTATTGTTTCGCTATAAGGCAAACCGATGTTGTCTTATTCATTCTGGTATTTCATGCATTCGGCCCACGGGTTTTTCCTTCGCTCGAGGTTTTACATTTTCATCCCAGCCTTGTTTTAACTATAACATCCATCAACTTGTGTATGAGTTATCTTGTCTCATATTGATCATGTCATTTTACGCCGCAGTTAGCAATATTCCAGCAGTATCACAGCGACCTGCAAATAACCGA